CTTGGGTTGTTTCCGACATCTGGTGAAAATTTCATGTCATTAGCACCTCTAGTAATATATTTACTGAGAAAAATGTTGACGTGTTCAATCCTTATTTTACCTGCTGTATAAACCCCATTTGGTTTGCTGAATTAACATCAAGAATTATCAATGTCAAGCGTGCTCAGATATTTATTTGATTTACAGCTTAAGTTTTGGTCATGTGCTACATGTTGTCACAGGTATAAAAACACATTCAGCTCTATTATTAATTTAAAAAATCAGACTAATCAGATGAATTATGAGAGTTCCTTTCCAACAAACTAAATAATTATTAGGGGTGCAACAATATATTTACCCTTATCAAACCGTTCAGTACAGTACTTTAGTTTCAATACACACTTGTATCAAACAATTCAGATTTTTAAAATTTATTTTATCAACGTTCCTCTGAAGATGCTCTGTGTTGAAGGATCAGTGGATCTGTGTTCGACTACTCCACCTAGGCTGCATTTTTGAGCGCATATCCACTGAGAAACTTGCTGTTTCTGTAATTTAAAAACTGTACTTTTGAGGTTAAATAAATGTTCATAATTAATTTAAACAAATTACAAGGTAAAGGGCATGGAAATTTCTCTTTTTTGTGTGGAAAAAATATTGAACCGTGAGACTAAATTATCGAACCAAATCATGAATTTTCTGTATCGTTGCACCCCTATTAATTATGTATGTAAAGTAATTATCGCATCTTTAAAATGAACTAAAGTCTGAAACAATAGTAGGTGTGGTTRTGCCTATTTTTTTTTACTTCTTATTTAGTCAAATTCCTCTACGTCGCCCACCTGAAACAACAACAACGCAGATCAACAAGTGACAGAGAGCTGACGAGAGCCAAAGCAGAGGGAGAAAGATGGTGAGAAAAATGCAGAGAAAAAGCAAAGAGATAGAGAGGGGTCATGGGAAGGCTAAAATAAAAGAGAAAGTAGTAAAACGGTGTGTGTTAGTGTTGTCCTGATGCCTCCCTGCAGGCCTGGACACAATCCCACAGCTGTGTCTCTCTCTCTGACTGACACACACACGCACACACACACAGAATATTTACAGTCTCCACCAAGATGACCTCTCAATGAACCCCGAGAGAAGAGACTCCTCACAGGCCACGCACTATACCCGTCCTGGCCCCGCCCCCTCATAAACATACACACACACTCACACGCCCCCATAAAACACGGACCGGCCAGGACGGTTCAGGGAGGCAGCGCACACAACAAACAAGCTACATAACTCTCCCAGCACGCTCATGGCCCTTCAACTTGCTGGTGATGTGCAATTAAAGACGGCAAACATAAGAGTGGAGGCACAGATGTGAGTGAGTGTGGCTCTACCTCCGTTGTCCGTCCTCTTGAGGGCTCCATCTTTGTGGGGGCAGAGCTCACATCTCTGTGGGTTGAAAGAAAAAAAAATCAGACCAGGAACAACAAGTTAAGACTTTTTGCGAGGTAAACACTGTGTGAGGTGCACAGATAGACAGCGTGGGGAAAACACCCTCATTATCTAATGTCCCTTCTCCAGGAGTTGTCTATCAGCACTCGCAGGACTTTACGCATCATTTTACCAGCTCTCCTTCTGATGAGTCAGCGAATTCTTAACTTGAGCAACGACGTTGCTCTAAATGTCGCACACCTCAAACATGACTTTACAAGGAGCAGCCTGAGTGTGATCTGTGGCTGGAGCTGAAGTTAAGATCTTTTATTTTGGTGTACCATTAAAACTGAATGAGGAGAAACACTTTGGCTCAACAGTCTTGTACAATAACTTTCGTTTGCCTTTTAATACAGTTATTTATATATTTCTCCAAACATTTTGTGTATTTTGTCTGATTTTAGGCACACATATATTCAGCTAAATTAGAAAATTGTTGTTTTGTAACTTTTTATGCATTTCAAAATATTTAACTTTATTTACAAATATTTTTATTCATGGAAATACTTATATTTATTAGTGCTGTACCAAATGATTATTTTCTAATCGATTAATCTAACGATTATTTTTTCGATTAATCGATTATTCTAACAACAAATCTAAAAGTTATTCTGATGTGAGTGCACTGGATATTTAAAATGTTTTCATCAAATTAACAAGAACAGTTCTTTAATAT